AAACCCTGATGCTATAAAAATCTGTGTATGCTTTGATTAAGTCGAAGATTAATTCTTGTCTGCGTACAGATTATTCTTCCCACACGTGTGTATTCATTAAAATCATTGTTTGACCAAGATCTTCTGGACCATGGTTGTTTGTACTCTCCTTCCTCAATTTTTGAACCTTAACAGTTCCTATTAATTCATTATTAATCCCCAATGAGCGATTGTCCCACGGTGATTAAATATATATTTAAAACAAGTGCATAACAATTTATTCATGCTTTACTTAATTGTAAATAAAAAAAAATACCCTCAAAATGTCTTTCTTTCAACCTTAAACCATAAATGAATCAAATAATGTTTACTACCTGTGAGCACGTAAGAAATGAACTGAAGACTTTTTTGCCGGCTTATATAAATTGTGATAATGTTAGGCTAATCGCATAAAGCTCACAATATGTAATGAAATCATAACCAACGTTGTTATCATAAAAGCCACATGTTAAACAAAGAAGAATTTATTTAACATGTGGCTGAGAATCCAGAGAGCAAAGAATGCATGAATCTTACATTTTTTAACAATAAATTAGGCTCACCAAGCACAGTGATGGCTGAAGGCTCAGATGTTTGAGATCTCAGAGTTTTGCTGTTAAAGGCCTGACAGCTGTAGTTTCGACTCTGACTCATCTGAACATTCATCAGTCTGAGCTCTGATCCAGTATCAGGCAGCTGATCTCCATTCAGAAACCAGTTAAACTGGGCAGGAGGTCTGGATCCAACTGAGCAGGTGAGGCTGATGTCTGACCCCACAGCAAAGTATCCTTGTGATGGAGGTAAGATCAAATTGATATTTTCTGGGCCATCTAAATGTAGAGGGAACATAGAAAAGTTACATTGGGTGGATGAAAAATGTAAAAGTATATTAAATTCAGTTTTTCTTGTTAAATCGCAAAAGTATTTCACACAACTACACTGCTTCACATCATGTCAACAGAAAAAAGATCTCATCTATCTTCTATTCAGCTCATCGGACATATCTAATATTCTGAAATCTAAAATGATGTCTAAACACTCTGATGCTTGTGTGCAGATGTTTTCAGATAAACTACTGAACATTTAGTTTAGTAACTCACAGCTGATGAAGAGGTTTACTGGATCACTGATAAAAGTACTGACAGGGTTGGACACACGACACCTGAATGGTCCCTGGTCAAAGCGGGTCACATTGATTATAGTCAGACTGGAGCCTCCATCAGTGAGCTGAACTCTGTCACTTGCTGTAACCTCAGAGCTGCCGTTCAACCAGAGGAAAGAGAGAGAGGATCCAGAGGCAGAGCAGGACAGAGAGACAGAAGCA